ACTACTATAACTCCTATTGAGGTATATGAACCATAAACCCTTTTAGGGTTCATCTCGTCCCCAAGGTCCAGGCAAGCAGGATGGTCGCAGGATGGTTGCTGCGGGACTCTTGGGCAGGGGGTCCAGTCGCGTTGGGTTTTTACTCTTAAGTTGGGATGTTCCCCCTTCTACTACCAGTCCTTCATAGGGATTATCATAGGCGGCTCTATGATCCCTATCCCTAAACCCTAAACCCTAAACCCTAAACCCTTAACCCTAAACTGCCCTAAACCCTAAACGCTGAGGGCCGAGACAGCCTTCGTGAAGTCGATGCCCCACGGCCGCGAGGTGAAGTTGATCTCCTCGGGGGGGGGCAGTGCAGATGCTGCTGCTCGCCCAGGGCTCTCTTTGCAGGGTTTAGGGTTTAGGGTTTAGGGTTTAGGGTTTAGGGTTTAGGGCTGAGCTGGATGATGCTTTCCTTTGATAGAATGACAGCGGGAGATCTCAGGTATGGGCGCCCCAAAAGCGACATGAACATCCAAGCAGCAGGCATCATTGAGCATCATGAGCATCAGCCGGAGGCATGGGCACCCCCCAAAAGCGAGCATCATGAGCATCAGCCGGAGTCACAGAGAGCATCGCGGACGGAAGTTGTTTGTGCTCATGCTGCCGAAAGCAGCACGAAACAAACAACAAAAACTAGCGCGGAACATGGAAGAACTCCGGTAGGTGAGGACTTGCTGGGATTCCTCACAAGCACGGCTAAGCTTCCTGCACTTATGCATGACATAAAGCACTCGTCCGAGCAGCGATCTTGTTCGCCCTTGCCAGGGCCACTTGTTAGATCTACCCCTGGACCCTAAGCCTGTCCTTGTTGGAGCCATCGGGCTTCTGAAACACAATGGTGACCACATTTCCTCGGCGACCCGAAAGTGCCAAGCGCGCGGCTCTGTGTGTGTGTGTGTGTGTGTGTGTGTGTGTGTGTGTGTGTGTGTGTGTGTGTGGGTGTGGGTGTGGGTGTGGGTGTCGCCGGTGTTGGGAATGTTGGCTGCTGGTGCTGCGGGTTGATGGCGTGTGGCGCTGTGGGGGTGTGGGTGTGGGGTGTGGTGTGGGGGTGTGGGTTGGGGTGGTGGTGTTGGGTGTGGGGGTGTGGGTGTGGGGGTGTGGGTGTGGGGTGTGTGGGTGAGGGGTTGGTGTGGGGGGTGGTGTGGGTGTGGTTTGGGGGTGTGGGTGTGGGCTTGTGGCGTGTCGGGTGTGTGGGTGGTGGGTGTGTGGGTGTTGGCTGTGGGTGTGGCGTGTGGTCGGGTTGGGTGTGTGGTTGTGGGTGTGTGGGTGTGGTGTGTGGGTGTGGGTGTGTGGGTGTGGCTTGTGTTGTGTGGGGGTGTGTGGGTGTGGTTGTGGAGTGTGGGTGATGTGGGTGTGTGTGTTGTACGCGGTGTGGTGTGGTGTGGTGTGGTGTGGTGTGGTGTGTGTGTGTGTGTGGTGGTGTGGTGTGGTGTGTGTGTGTGTGGTGGTGTGGTGTGGGTGTGGGTGTGGGTGTGGGGGTGTGTGGGTGTGTGGGTGTGTGGGTGTGTGGGTGTGTGGGTGTGTGGGTGTGTGGGTGTGTGGGTGTGTGGGTGTGTGGCTGTGTGGCTGTGTGGCTGTGTGGCTGTGTGGCTGTGTGGCTGTGTGGCTGTGTGGCTGTGTGGCTGTGTGGCTGTGTGGCTGTGTGGCTGTGTGGCTGTGTGGGTGTGTGGGTGTGTGGCTGTGTGGCTGTGTGGCTGTGTGGCTGTGTGGCTGTGTGGCTGTGTGGCTGTGTGGCTGTGTGGCTGTGTGGGTGTGTGGGTGTGTGGGTGTGTGGGTGTGTGGGTTGTGGGTGTGTGGGTGTGTGGGTGGTGTGGGTGTTGTGGGTGTTGTGGGTGTGGTGGGTGTGGTGGGTGTGGGTGTGGGTGTGGTGGGTGTGGGTGTGGGTGTGGGTGTTTTGTGTTGTGTGTTGTGTTGTGTTGTGTTTGTGTTGTGTTGTGTTGTGTTGTGTTGTGTTGTGTTGTGTTGTGTTGTGTTGTGTTGTGTGTGTGTGTGTGTTGGTGTGTGTGTGTGTGTGTGTTGTGTGTGTGTGTGTATGTGTGTGAGAGAGAGAGACTGTTTCGGGGGCTCCTGCTCTTCCTCATTGCGAGCTTTATGTTAGTACGACTATGGTATTGCTCCCTACTTCCATGCTGCTATGTACTGTTATGAGTATGGTTCTGCATATGCTACAATAATATAACCTTAAACCCTACCCTAAACCCCTTTGCAGTTGTCATCAACTCAAGAAATCCCATCAAAGTCATTTGGGCGCGGCTTTCCCGGACAAGCTGCGCTTGGAGTCGAGCGTTTCGTCTGGGTCGACCTCGCGCCATGCACGACACGCTGCTTGATTTTTGCTTGTTTCGGGTATTCAGGGGTACACAGGCTAAGGGTAGTAGGGTTTGTTTAGCGGCTTAGGGGTTGAAAAGATCATCTTCTTGCGCTGGCGAAGAGCCTCGAGTTTTTGAGGCAGGGTCTCGATTTGGGTTGAGGTTGTTGCGGCCCGTGAGGGAAACCCCTTGTTTCAGTGTTCCGCCAGTGCAACCGAATAGGAATCTCCCCCACGTCATGTCCTCCTACGAAGAGAAACTGCCCAATCGTGACCAGTGCTTCCTAGTCCCGCCAGCATCAACCCAATATGACTTTTCTTGTGAGCCTCAGCATCGACCTCCTGCCTCTGGGGTTGACCTTTCAGTTCTGTGGTCTGCTACTGCCAGAAGCCCGCTTAGCACCAGCCCCAGCTGCCAACCTACCAACTGCCACATCATCCCAAGCGTCCCACAAACCTGTGCAGACAGCGCACCTGAAAGCCCTGGGCAACCACCGAGGTGACATTCTCATTCGGCCCCTGGTCAGCCGCCAGGGGTAGTACGTATACAGTTGTAGGGGTGGCCGGTGACGTGAAGAAGGGTGAACTGGCTCAACTTGTGATATAGATTTACAGATTTAGTTTTTTTAGGGCCTTAGAATGTGCGAGCACTGCGAGTGAGGAGAATGTTTGAACTAGTGGCCGTTCTCTCGACGTCTGTAGTCATCATTCAAGTTGTGCTTGCAACCTGCCAATGATGCCAGAAGGTCGCCAATGCTGTCTGTCCGACGTGACTAAGCCACAAACCAGTATACACCCTACGACCCCAAGACTTATGGTGAAGATTCCTTGGTCTGCGCCGGCGTGTGGGCAATGCAGTAAGGCCAGAACCCAGCACGCATTGAGCTATTTTGTTGCATGCGAAGCGCAGCTTCTGTCTTACAGGATCTTGTGCGGGTGGACTTAGTGTTTGGGTTGGGATGTTCCCCCTTATACTAACAGTCCTTAATAGGGATTATCATAGGGAGTACCATAATCCCTGTTAAGGACTGCTTGTATCAGGGGGCACATCACAAAGTTTGGGTTACAAGCTAGAGTAAAGCGGGTTTGGAGAGGCAACGCTTTCCAAACAATGCGGGGAAGACTTGACCTGCACTTATCCCTAAAGGGCCCAAAACCAGACAGGGCGAAGCGGCTATATACGTATTCGGAATAAGGACTAGTCGCATTTCCTTATGGTTACTACAAGATCCCCCAAAACCCTATCCTGATTGATAAAAGGCCCCGATGTTCGCACTCCTGACTATAATTATAGCTGTACTTTAATGTCCCCCAGAACCGTACTCCGAATACTATAAAGCCCCCCTATCCCTTAACCCTAAACACTAAACCCTAAACCGCTGCTGAGGCCCCAAGCCTCATTGCACTGGCAGCACACCTTGTTGCCCATCCTTGGGGTTGCTCTCCGGCCTTGGGATCTGCACCCCTAAACCCTAAACCCTAAACCCTAAACCCTGAACCCTGAACCCTGAACCCTGAACCCCATAAACCCTAAACTGTAGAAACCCTAAAATCCCCAGACCGAAATAAACTGAACTCGTACAGGCTGTGCGGCGCTCCCATCCTGAGAGCACTGTGCTTTGGTAGTTTCACCGAGTGCTCGCGGGCTTACGGCTCAGGAACTTCAGCAGTACGACAATGCCTACTAAGGACTGTTAGTACTATAACACCCTAAACCCTAAACCCTAAACCCTAAACCCTAAACCCTGAACCCTGAACCCTAAACCCTAAACTCTAAACCCTAAACCCTAAACCCCTAAACCTTAAACCCTAAACCCTAACCCCCATTAAGGACTGCTAGACAAAGGGGGAAGATCCAAACTCCCGAACTCTCACAACAACGCCATGTCTCTGAGTGCCAGGCCCACCCCCCCACGGCGGCCGTGTGGGCCCGGGACCAACAGGTTGGTTGCTTGAGCCCAGCAACTCGAGGTCAACTCTCTCTGGATGGCTATGGAAAAGCTATTTTTTTGCGACCCCCACAATAAGGGTTGTAGCTATTTTTTATGTATACTTTGAAAAGCGCAAAGCAGAAAAGTAATCAGGATTGTAATCATTATTTGTAGCCTTGCTGCGTGCAAAGCAGGAGGAGTAAACTCCTACTTCTGCGGAGGCCCGAAATGGGCATAGGGGCCCCGAACTGGCTTGCCACCGATTCCCGAGGATGGAAAAGCCCACGGGGCTGTATCCTACCCTAAACCCTAAACGCTAAACCCTAAACCCTAAACCCTAAACCCTAAACCCTAAACCCTAAACCCTAAACCCTAAACCCTAAACCCTAAACCCTAAACCCTAAACCCTACAGCAGCCCCAGGCTTTACGGCGGGTTCTCAGGCGCAGCAGCAGCTTTACAGAAACGGGGCTGTGGTGTAGAATCGAATCGACACTTCCGACCACCTCCTATGGTTTAGGGTTTATTTCGGGTTTAAGGCTTGGGGTAGGGCTTAGGGTTTAGGGCTTTGGCATCTCCATCCAAAATCCTCTTCTAGACATTCTTGGGCCATAGACAACAGCGTCTTTGAGAACCCTGTTCAACACACATTCCTGTCACAAAGATCGCCTTGGAACCAATGGAGCGGAGACCCCCAGGCTACTGAAATGAAGGGGCCTCTTCCCGTGAGCCCCGCCGGCGCCGGTCTAAGTCCCGTCGAAGCTCCGGCCGCCTCGGGATGGCCCCCCCAGAAAGAAGTCAGGGAACTCTAGGTCTCCCAAAATAATCCCGTAAGGGGATGCGATGAAACGATGCAAGGTGCCGAATTCCCTGACTCCCTCCTAAGAACTATAGCACCCTTCGGGCTCCACTTGGTTACTTTGGGGGCATGAAATTTAAGAATCCGGTCTCGGATGCTTCGGCATTGCAGATCCCCTTGTGGGACGAAGCAATCGCACCCAAGTGAGGGGGCCCCGGCGCCATGGGCGCCATCGGAACCGGGGTTCCAGCAGAGTCTGCCTCAGGGGGAGAAGGTGGGAATGGGAGTAGCGCAACAAGCGGGGCGAACCTTTGGCCGCTTCGTTTACCAAGGCCGTCTTCTGTGAAGGCCCTGTGCTTCGGAGGATGAGGTGCAACACCTTGGGACTAAGGTGGTTCTAGATTACACACGCAGACTGCGGCTTCCTTGGTCCCTTGGTCACAGCTTAAATTCGACATCCTGCGCTAACCTTCGCGAGGTCGCGCCGGAAAGGCTCTGAAATGCACGGGCGCTGAATGTCTTCTCCATCGAAGCATCTGCACCCCGATGAGAATTCGCAGAGTTCACTCCGTAAACCCGACATTGGCCCATTTGGCACCTCGACAGTCTCGCTCATGCGGAAGCGGTAGTTCACGGGGGTGTACATCCTCCCGAGCGAAGTGAAGCTTTAAAGGGGGAGACATACGAAATACAAGCTTTGGGGGCCCCGCATAGCTTCCGAACACACGTCGCAACCGGCTGCTGTTAGGCTGTGCCTCGCCCCCGATCCCTGAACACCTATTGGCCTTGGCTTGCGATAAAGATGTCATTTTGCAAGAGCCCCTTTGGATTTGCAACTTCACCCACTTGCAAGGCCCTAATTAGCCCTAATTGTTCGATTCCCTCAACCTTTGCCCATATGGCGGTTTCCGAAATTGGGGTACCTTATTGGAGTCCTCATAAAAGGGGGATCCTACTATTTGGGGGTCTATATGAGGGGTCCCCTATTTTCCTGAACCCCCAAATCGTTTACGGGGTGTTTACGGGGTCTCCAGGGTACACAAACAAGGTACCCCTATTTTCGTAAACCCTCATATCAGAGCCTTTCGACCGGCTTCGGAGTGTTTGCGGCCTGCCAAGCACTGGAAGCGTGCGTCCAGCTGTTGCTCTCAGAGTTGTGCTGCTGAGACGATGTGGGCGACGCTTCTTGCAGGGTGCGCTGTGGGTTACGGCTTGTGGGGCTTTCGTAGGGTTTACGAGATTCCGGGGGTTCGGATGGTTTAATGTGGCACTCTGTTTCATGTTTGCTCTCCCCGCGCCCTCCTCCGCCAGCCCGTGGCGACCTGGAAAAATCCGTACCACCGCACCCTCTTATGGATCGGAACGGTCAGCGGCCGGGGCAAGATTGTCGTGATAGAGAAGGCCCAGACTAAACAGAGAGCAACATGGCGCGGCTCGCCAACGCATCGGGGAAGTTGAGTCGTAGCTGGTCCACTTCCGCACTATTGGGGTCGAAAAATTACCCCTGTGCACGCTTCATTGTCGGCTGGTCCGGTGATCACTGCCGCTAAGGGCAAGTTTTCCGCCGGAACGTTTTGCCATAGTATGTTTTCCTTTTCATGTTCACCTGCTTTGAGTTTAGTCTCAAATACCACCCCCCCATCGGGATGTTTTTGCGAAGCCGAAGTTCCGAACCTTTAGCTCTGAAGCCTGGTTCCCTTGAGCTTTGGACCCAAAGGAATTGAAAACAATCACACGATTCCGCAGTGCTTCCGAGCCCTATGCTAGCTGACATGTAAGTCTTGCAGTATAACCTAAGGCCTGTGTCTGTGCATTCATTCGCTTCACGACGCAGAAGCTACTAAATTACCTCGTCATTCACTGTCGGGCTCCAGTGACATGAGTGGCAACTTGTGAGCTGAAACCCTACAACCCCAAACCCCGACACCCTGAAGGCCAAACATTTATCATCCTCATCGCGTCAGCAGCCCCGACCTCCGCGCCCGTGCTTGGCGGCATGCCTCCGACGACAAAGTTGCCCAACATCCTCTGCTGCGGCTACTCGAATTGGGTGGATACCAGGTCAAGGCCTAAACCCTAAACCCTAAACCCTAAACTTGGCCCTAAACCCTAATTCCTGAACCCTGAACCCTGAACCCTGAACCCTAAACTCTGTTGAGGGTTTGGGCCGAGCCCCATGACTAGGAAGCCTCGGGCACGGTCCTTGCACTGTCGCGCTTCGTGGCGCAGCTCGAAGGAGGCTTGCAATGTGGGGGGGGGGGTACCCTTTTTGGGGGGTCCTTTTTAGGGGGGATTCTACTCTATTTTGGGTCTAAAATGGGTACCCCTATTTTGGGAAATACCCATGTGTCTTTCAGCTATGCCTGTGAGCAATGCTTTGTAGTGCTTTACTTAACCAGCACTAGCCTGGGCTCACCCCGCTTCTCAGTCAAGCTGCTGTAGCCTGCCTGTAGCATGCCTCCGAGCCCTATGACCCCAGCCTAGAACTATGCAAATACTAAAGATACTGCTGAGCTCCACAACTCAGTTTTCAAAATATGATGCCCATGTTCCGACTGTCTTGCGTTGGGGCTTGCTTGGTGTGATTGAGTTGTGTTCAGTGTGAAACGTCTACAAGCGTGCCGAGCCAAAAACAGCAACGCGCCATCTGCTCAGGCAGCGTCACGTTCTAGATTGCGGAACTGCCCAGATAGTTTATGTATCGCAAACAACGACCATTAGCCCATACAGTGAAGCTAGCGCTCTTTTCCAGAGGCCGTGCGGCGTGCAGTATCAATGCCATGTGTGACCACATGCAATGCACAAAACCTTGTTGTAATTTCGATCAAGATGACGCCTCCTCGCTAAGGACTGGCCAAGGCTGAGACGGAACGAGCTGCAGGATTAAGCTCATGCAATGACCGGCCACGCTTCGCGGCGCTGGAGATGTCGACCCTGGAAAGGCGTTGTACAGCTCTCATGCAAACGGACATTTTCGTAAGCGCGCACAAAGCCCGCATGTGTGCTGCAAGTGCCAAAAAAGCTCAGGCGCTCGAAAACGAAATGGTCGTTACCAGCAACCCCTAAACTGGAGCAATGACAGCAGTGATCCCATGCAATGTGCAAAACCCTGCTGCAACCTAAACCCTAAACCCCAAACCGTAAACCCCAAACCCTAAACCCTGAACTCCTTGAGGGCTCATCTAGCCATGAAAAGAGGATACCTACGTCACACGCTCCGGTGCACGATGCCCCTTCAACTAGGCCTTGCAACCTCGTGTCCAAGACTAAAGAGGGGCAACTAGATCACTCTGCTTCTACATACATTCTAGTACGCCTACATTAGAGTATAAAAGTAGAATATCGTAAACTATCGTATACTACAATCTAGCATCTTAAATTTTATTCTATGCGTGGCGCCAGTGGATCTGACATAACTCCGGGCGTGGACTCCTGGTGTTCCATTTCTATTTTCCGCTCTCGCGCCCGCTGCGATCCGAAGTGGCTCGTGGCGCCGCTCCGCTCCTTCGCGGACAGATGCCTACTATGTATTTCTGTATATATATATACACCATACAGATATATATGTATTTATGTATATATATATATTTGTTTTATATTTCTGTATTTATTTATCTATACGTTGTTCTGTACTTCCTGGTTTAGGTATATACCTATTCATAATGTGTAAGCCCACTACCCCTGCGATGCAAGGCGCTCTGTCGCAGTCGAGACTATGGAATGCAATTAGGGGTCGACTTCATGAGAGTGGTTAGACTGGGAATTTTGGCGGTATGTGTGTATATATATATATATCTATGTAAATACATCAATATAACGCACACACACACAGATATATGTATATATATATATACATATTGTATGAACATATTTTGTACTCATTCTTCGAGATATACAGGGATCAGCAAGGGGTCAACAAAGAAAAAGCCTTCTGGCATTGAAGAGGCCCCCCCCCCCCCTCCCCCAACACCCGAAGCCCGGCTCCCACGCACTCCTGGGAGTTCAGCCCTTCCGCAAGGGCTCACCACCCTGGCGGTTTGGATTTCGAGGTCCCCCTTGGGGGGGGAGCTCAACACATGGTTCCTTTCAGGGCAGTTCCTGGAAGAGAGGAAGAGAGAGGCAGAGAGAAGGGAGAGCCATCAATTGCTGTGTGCCTCAACGGCAAGGCGTGCGCTCTAAACATCAAGGGCCGGCGCATCAAGTCCTATCCGCCCTCTCTTGGTCCTTTGCAGGGCTTCGGGGGGACATCCCTCTGCTTCTTTTAGCGACCTCTGAGTGATCTGAAACATGCTACTGCTACTTAAGATACTCATCGCAAGTGACAGTTCGACATGCGCGCCAAGCGGGACTGCATCTCGTGGTCGCAGGGCTCCGGTGTGAACTCGAAGTAGTAGTTGTCGAAGTGCTGAGGCACAGTTGCAAAGTCGAGGTGGTTGTGGACTCCGAAGGTGTTGGTCTGTCCGGCATGTGCAGGGCACCACATCGCGTTGTGGGAGTGCGGGCAGATGTCCACCACCACGAACCTTGGAGACCAAATGATCCCCAAAATTGGGGGGTCATATACCCTAAACTACTATAATTCCTATTGAGGTATATGAACCATAAACCCTTTTAGGGATCCCTTCGCCGCCAAGGGAACTTGTACTCCGTGTGGAAGATCTTCGCGCTCTCAGGCGTCCAGATCTTGAAGCCTCTTGGCAGCTGCCGAACAAACTTCCCCTTGCCACAGGATCCGCATCCCAGGCCTGCGGTGCCCCCTCCTCCTCCATTCCTCACCATGTTACAGGCCCCTCAACCCTAAACTCTAAACCCCTAAGCCCCTAAGCAGCTACACCCCTAAACCCGATTATAAAGCCCTAAACCCCTGAAGCCCTAAACCCCTGAAGCCCTAAACCCCACACCCAGAGTCAGAAACCGGTACTTCGCTGCATTTTCACTGCCAAGGCTCCGATTGCAGCGACAGCATCCGTCTTGCATTGCCTGCGCAGATGCCACTGCGAGATAGTGGGTTCCCTTCACCTGAGCACGAAGCACGGGTGTGTGGGCGCATGCCGAAACAGGCCGGAGGGGCCATCAATCCTCTGCGATGATTGCAACATGACAATGTATATATATATATATATACATATATATACATATATATCTAAACATACTCCAGATATGAAGACAGAGAGAGAGAGATATATATATATATATATGTACATACAAAAAATATATGGTTCCTGCGCCCAGTTGCGAGGGCGGCAGAGTCAAGGCCGCAAGCTGTCTGGGGGTTTGTCCCGTAGCGTGTTGACGTCGCCATAAACCGGTAATGACGCCTTGGCTGCTCAAAATGGGGGGTTGGCGATAGTAAGGGATCTCTATAGGTTCCCTTTGTAACAACGACCCCAACACAGAAGCTACCCCTATAATATCGCAATCCCCAGAAAGTGCAAGGTCTCCATGTCAAGCCGAGGCGCGGATGAGGCGCAGGCGCGTAGTCGGTACGATTCTCTTCCAGGAGCGCCGTGAGATTGTTGAACGATCGGGAACGAAGGTTCACAGCCCGCACGGCCGCAAGTGTCATGAAGAACAGCTGAATGGAACGGATCATCATGAACCGTGGGGTTTGCCGGTTCGATAGCGAGAGATTCTGCTGCGTGGCAAGAAGCCAAATTTTGCGGATTTACGCACTGGAAATATCATGCTGCGAGCATGGCCTTCAACACATGTAAGTGAGCTGCTGTTCCGTACGACGTAAGTACAAAATACAGCCCAGCTTAGGAGTTTGAAGCCCGCAAGAAGCGCAAGGTGTTAAGATTTTTCATGGAGTTGAGGATTGCGGGTCCAAGGCCCAAGTACACACTAAAGAGGCACATGGACCACGCATAGAAGCTCCCGTGCGCACCGTATGGAAGCGGCTCGACCGCTTGTCCTTGGTCAGTGGGTCGACTCATGAGATATGTGTGGCTCTATCCTTCCACTGAAAAGCACGCGATGTAGCACAACAAGACCTGCAAGAGGAGCCACAAGGACACCTCGAAGCACCGCATGCGAAGTTCTAGGGAACGACCCTAAGGACGCGTTGGAACTTTAGGGCTTGAGGGTGGATGGCTTCAGAACCTCCGCAGAGTCACTGCTGGGCCATTCTGGGCCCGTCAAGAATCGACCCATTTAGAATAGGCCCTAACCCCACCCCCCCCTCTCGTAGCCCCAGAGCTCTCAGAGAAAAGATGGGAGCCGGGCCCAAGCCCACATCACCAACGTCTTCCTGATGCCCGACCTGGGGATCATCCAGAGGGGATCCGGAGGCCGACATAGAAAAGAGTAAGGGTAATATAGAAGTTATGCAGACATCCAGAGTGATAATGGTGAGAACAAAGGTTTCGAAGCTGAATATTCTAATTGTGGTAAACATGGACAGAGGTCAAGATCTTCACCCATGGAGGTGCCACCTCTGCCTTAGCAACGGCAACCGAAAGCCCTCTTGGAATTGTTTCGAAGAACCCTGAAACATCCCCTCCCCCGTGCAGGGCTAAGGGTTTAGAGATGTGACAGTCGGCCTCAAACTGCGTCTAATTTTGCGCTCTAGGGCTCCACGCTTGACGACAGTGACCCGGTGCATTAGCCTGGCGGAGGATCGAAGCAAGGACGTGCGTGCATATTTGTATCTTGTTTCTTCTTCTTATTTCTTATTGTTAAAACTACTAGCAGTATCATTATAAAATTAGATGTGTATATATATATATGTATACGGCTAAGCTTTATGAGGCTTCTGTCTTATTCGATTGCAGACTTCACGATGAGGCCCTCGATGCGCGTATTTGCAGAAGGCTTTCACAAGCGTGCCATCAGAGGCATCCCCGACTCGAAAGTTTCAAAGGGGGGGGGGGGAGTGTAGGGTTTTGGGTTTAGGGTTTAGAACTTGGGGTTTTGGAGGGAGTGAAGGCAGTGAAGGTGCCTAGGAAAGCCTGAGAGTGTGAGAAGGGTGCGCGAGTTTGAGGGAGGGGAAGGGACACAAGCACAGCAGTTCCGGATTTCACCCTGCGACCTTTTCGACGGGAAGACCAAGGCGTCCCCGGCATCCAGCGGGATGCATTGAGTGACCTGAACGCGATGGACAGTAGGGTTTAGGGTTCAGGGTTCAGGGTTTAGGGTTTCTGGGGTAAACCTATTGAAGGGACCGAATTTAGAGAACAGCCCCTTTGAGAGGTTTAGCTGGGGACCGCGTACAGCCCGTACAACCCCGTCAACCTAACACATCCCAATCTAACGGTTAAGGGTGCCCTTGGCAGGCACTATGCAACCATGTGGACTAGACAGCAAGGCTGTTCCACAAGCCACCACAACAGCCCCGAGACATCGCGCAATCGAAAAAACAAATGCCCACTCTCGAAATCCCTGAAACCCTCAAGTTCTCCATATTACACAATATACAACATGCAATACAATACAAGTAATATACATATATACATATGTATGTCATCCAGTAATACAATTTCTAATTTAATTTCATAGACATGTATAGAATACAATATAAAACACATTCACATGTGAGAGGCCTTGCGTTTCGTCGCGCTCTTTGCGACCTTGGCCTGAAAGCGGCCACCAGTGTAGTTGCCTCGAACGACGATGGTTGATTTAGGCTCATGGCTGGTGTGAAGGGTTAAGCCCTACACCCTGAACCCTTAAAGCCTAAATCCTAAACCCTAAAACCCTAAACCCCATAGCCAACTTTAGGCTTTAGGACTCAAGGATCTGCCAAAAAAGGGGCACTCCCTAGTTGTCCAGTAACCTGGGGGAATCAACGGTTAACCGTTGGGATTCTAAGGGGATTATACTACGCCAAAAAGGTTAAAGGTTACCTACTCTAACTACTAGGACTCTGACCAAATCTAAACCCCAAAACCTTAACCCTAAACCCTAAACCCCATAGCCAACCTTAGGTGCCAAAAAAGGAGGACTCTGACAGACTTGGGTCTTCTCTTGGGAGCTGGCTCGCATGCGACAGCATGAGCACCACCTCGTCGGAGGACACGTGGAATGCGATGTAGGGTGTAGGGTTTAGGGTGTAGGGTTTAGGGTTTAGGGCTTAGGGTTTAGGGCTAGAAAAAGGAAGCCAGGGTCGCTATGTTTCCCAGCCTGCTTGCAGTTTGCAAGGTGCTAAGGCCAAGACTGTGAACTGTCGCGCATCCTGGCCCCAAGCAGCTTTCAGCCCAAGAGACGCACCCGAATCGGAGCCGGTTTAGGGTTTAGGGTTTAGGGTTTAGGGTTTAGGGTTTAGAATACCTGTGCTAAATCTCGGCTCTTCGAGACCGTTTAGACCTCCTGCCACTCAACTTCTGCGCCTTCTACATGAGGTTTCCAAAAGCTAGGGGACCTCTAATATAAAGCCCCAACTAGTAGGATCCTCTTGCAAAAAAAATGGACCCCCAATTTGGTACCCTTCATTTCGGAAACTCCCCTATGTCTCAGCCCTGAACCTTAAGGTGCCCTTAGGTCCTTGCGTGCGAACGGAAGATACTGGAAGGTAGCATAGGGGCCTACTGAATCTTTGGGCACTACGTGGTGGAAAGCTGAACAAGAGATGTGGGGCTTGTTTGAGCAGGGTGTGGCATGATGAATGAGGGATGTTGATCGTACTGGTCATTCTCACTGTCTACCCAAACCCTATGACCTGAACCCGAAGCATCCTTCACTCAAACCAACGAAGCCCTAAACCCCAAACCCCAAACCCCAAACCCTAAACCCTAAACCCTATAACCCCTAAACCCTAAGTCCGGGCAGCCCCAAACCCTGCACCACCAAGCCCAGCTCCTCGGGATCGTTGCCCTTCTCAAAGGCATCCTCTCGCGTGTGGGTTTGGGGTTTCGGGGTTCGGTTTAGGGTTTAGGGTTTAGGGTTTAGGGTTTAGGGTTTAGGGTTTATAGGGTTTAGAATATTTTCCGACTTATGGAGAAGAAAGGCTTTCCCAAATTTAGTAGCGCCACCTGTCTGGGCCAAAATGCGGAGGTTGTTCTTGTTCTATACAGCTGTATCTTGGAGTCTTGCAGAGATTGCTCCCAAAACCCTCAACCCCAAACCCTTATTCCCAAAACCTTAGCCCTAAAACCCTAAACCCTAAACCCCAAACCTCCTCCCCCCCCCCCCTCAAAAAAAAAAAAAAAAAAAAAAAAACCTTTAGCCCAAAACCCGCAACCCCAAACCCAAACCCCGAAACCCCAAACTTACCCCCCCCCCCCCCCCCCGCGCCTGGTGCCAGGCTTGGAAGTGCTGGCTCTCTCGGTACACAGTGTACTGAGCATCCTCGCAGCTTGAGGAGTTTGGGGAACTGCGGGTTTAGGGATTGGGGGTTTAGGGTTTAGGGTTTGGGGTTTAGGGTTGAGGGTTTAGAGGTAAAAGGGGATAGGGTATGGGGTTTAGGGGTAGCGGGTATGGGGTTTAGGGGTATAGGGTTTAGGGCTTGGATTTTTTAGGGTCCAGGGTCTGTGGTTTGAGGGTTCAAGGTTTAGGGGTGCAGGTTTAATGGTAGACGCACCGTAGGCATGTATATATATATATATATATATAGACATACGATAGGTAACATGCTTCTGAAACCATTTGAGTTAGGATGGGGGGGGGGGCCTCTGAAAATCGGAAAAATCTCTTGCCATACTTCAAACATGCATCGGGGCAGATCAGATGCTCCACCTCCTAAACTTTCCTTCTGATATGGTGCAACTGGCACATGGTGCTTCCAGTTTCCCACCTTACAGAGTTCGGGGGTTGGAGGGTTTAGGGCTTAGGCTATGACATGTGGGGACTTGTGTACGTGTATTCTAGTGGTTGTGGAGGCTCAGATGAGAGGTTCTTGTGGTTTTGGGGCTTGGGGTGGGGGTGGGAAGGAGGGATCCCACTAACTGTGTATAGAGCGCTCTAGTGTCCCATCTTACGCTAACAATTCCAGAAGCCCTAAACCCTAAAACCTAAACCCTGAACCGGAACCATAAGAAGAAGCCCTTCATGAGATTCACAGCGCCCAGGCTGGGGCCCCGGCCTCGTACGTGCAAACGGGTTCCCCAGCTTTGCTCACCTGCATGCCGGGTTTAGGGCTTAGGGCTTAGGGCTTAGGGTTTAGGGTTTAGGGTTTAGGAGTGCTTGGAGCTGTGGGAGGCTTCGGTGCTTTTTTCGCCACGCCCATGGGAAGGCTGACCATTCACTACTTGTAGCCCTAAACCCTAAACCCTAAATCCAAATCACCCCAAGCTGGCCATAAGAATGTCCAAGAGACACATTCGGAGTAGCCTCGGGTTCCTGCTGGAAGGTAGCATTAAGCAAAAAGGAGACCATACTTTCACGATCCATGAGGGGTAGTTGATGAACCCTAAACTCTAAACCCTAAGCCCCAAACCCTACGCCCTGAACCCTAAACCCTCCAGCCCACAAGCGAAGGCCTCGAAGAGTGGCCACTCTTTGTTGGCAACTTCGCGGACCTGGGTGGGTCTACTCCCCTAGGGTTTAGGGTTTAGGATTGAGGCTAGGGCATTATGTAAGATGATGGGGACAGAAAAGGGGATATCGTCGCGCATGCCGACAGTCATGCCCTTCGAAAGAGATGAGCGCAGGCGTGGTGAAATCTGATGGAAAGACAACGCTACTGCTTCATTCTTGGGGGGTGTCAAAGAACTTCTGTGTTGACACTTGGACAGCCGGAAAGAGTGTTGTAAGCCCCCAAAACCTGAACCCTTGTCACCTTATCCATGTATATATCTATATCGATATATATATATATATATGCATACATATACATATATATATATATATACATATACACATATGGAAATACATATATTTTTGTATTTCTGTACCATGTATACATACATGTGTTCATAATAAACATGAATATGCGTAAACATGTTTTTGAAAGCTGGAGGTACCCCTAGTGCAATCCTTGCAATAGAAACTCCACAGAAAGATGTATCCATATTTCATGTGCACTTTTCCCAAGAGAAGCTCGCTCTTATGCCAGGGGGCTAAGTCCTTCAGCTTCTGATAGAGGAGTGGGCACTCCTGGGGAACGGGATCAACAGATACCTCATGCTGAGACCTGACTTCTGGCTGAAAAGGTACTAGTATAGGTGAAGTCTGTGCAGTTGGTGCATTCATAGACTGGGCTGACATGGTGTCTTACATCTGCATCTACCGTAGTCCCTCCGGGACTTGTCGAAGACAGAACCACCATTACGTTCTGGACGTCTCTTTGGGGCCAACCCAATGAAGGCCTCAAACGAGGGGGCGGGTTGAGTGGGTTCCATGTCAGGTTGCCCCTGTTAAGTGGGGACACGAAGTCAAGGGCTGCAACCGCCAGACTGAACCAAAGACAATCTAAACCAAAATACATGCTTCGAGCGCCGCTGGCCGCCTTTTGGATCCCAAGGCCAAGTCCTCCTAATATTCAACCCCCCCCCCCCCCTACTCCCTAATGTTAAATGTCCCCCTGATAGCTATATTATAGTACATTGGGGATTTATTTAACATTAGGATAGCTCCTTGTATAACTATATTGGGCCGGGGCATTGAGTATAAAGGCAAGGGGGGGGATGTGCCGGATGTGCAGCTCCTTCTCTGGCTTGAACCATGAGATGTTGCTGTCCCGGTCGTCGTATCTGGCCTGCATGCGATTCTCACTGCCCACGCGCTGCACTTGCATTACCGAAAACTACGGCCTCCATGTGGAGGTTTCCGCAAACAAGGGTACCCCTTTTTGGGGTTTCATACTATTTGGGGGTACATGAAGGGTACCCCTATTTGGGGAAATGCCCATGTGTGTTTTGTTTGTGTGTGCTTACAATGCTGGATAGGGCTAGCGGGTATGTGGTTACAGTCATGGAGGCGAAGTACAATTTGCAAAGCCATGTAAAGATGTTGGCAGTATGGCCCCTGTTCCGAACAGATTTCCAGATTTGGAATGCACGAGATCTCGCGGTGCCTTTCGCTCGTCGTCCGACTCCCCCGCGCCCTCATTCCTTGTCTTCTATGAGCGGACGATTAGGGTTGATCTGAAAGCAGTTGCTAAAAAGGTGCAGGTCGCGGATTGCTGCCACCAACTGCCCCGAAAATAGGCTTTGCGTGCAGTTGCATCCCGGTCATGGCTAGGATGGTTCCCAAACAAAGTCCCAAGCCCTAGATACGCAACACAAGCCCGAAGCCATCAACCTCAACATGCCTTCCAGCATCACCAGGCTCTCCTCGTCCCACGCCCTAAACCCCAAACCCAAAAAATGCCAGGGATCTTCATTTTCGCCGCCGTCGGCCGCTTCCTGGCCCAGTGAGCCCCCCTAAACCCCAGTGCTGACTTTTCTCTGGACGTTCGGCGAGGGGAGCTCGGTGGCTCCTATACCTCCCTGTGGGCCAGAAAAGGAAGCAAAAAAGGGAGCCTCAATGTTCTTGTCGAGGTTCTTTTGGCAACAAAAAGCAGACAGGATTCCTATAGAAAAGCGAAAGAGGTTCAGGGCTGAAGCCTCCGCAGAACAAGGTCCAGTGCAGTGAGTTCCGAGCTGCTCAGCGCGGATCTCGGAAGACAAAAAAGGCAAAGTTGACGCTTTTGAACTGGGTGGTTCTCGGTGCTTGGATTTTGTGGTTGGTTATAAGGAGCACGAGGGCTGTAAGGCTCGAAATGCTACAGTGACACAGTGGGTCCGTGAGCATGTTCTCCAAGCGTAGTCAGTCGGTTGCAGACTTTTGTGCAGCTCATGCGCGGCGTCTTGCGCAGCCCCCAGCCCCAATTCGAGGCCCGCGCTTGACGACCACATAGGCACTGTTTCGCTCCTGTGACCGAAAAGCTTCCATTCGGGTCCATGCACGCCCCAGACTCAACAGACCTGTGCCCCTTACTTTTCCTCCAGAGCCTGACACCAATTACCCCCACTCACCTGATCCCCTGCAAACTTCTCAAACTGAAGCGTCGCGACCCGTGACGGTCCTTGAGGGTAAAGGAGGAACGCCTGCCAGGTTCAATGTGTTCAAGTTGGGTTTAGGGTTGAGAGTTTAGGGTTGAGAGTTTAGGGTTTCAGAGCTTGGTTTGGTCACAAGAAGGGGCGGGGAGGACGCGGAACAGCTAAAGCCCCAATGCATTCGTTGCGAATGGCTCCAGAATGTCTTTGCTTGAGGCCTCTTTGAGGCCTCTTTCAGGAAAGCAGTGCCCTTGCACGCCAAGCAGCAATGAACATTCCCAAGCCCGAAACTGCCCTAAACCCTACAAACACTACATGCCAGTTCTACAAACCCAAATCGAACCCCAAATCCGAAAGTCCGAAACCCATACTGGGGATATCACGGCCCTCAGCAAAAGCCCTAAACCCTACACCCTACACCTTAAATACCCTAAACCCGTTCCCTAAACCCTAAACCCTAAACCTTCTGCTTTCTAAGCCCAGCGGCTTCCTGTACGCGGCCGGCGCGATCATCTTCCCTCGGAGCCGCCGCCTCCAGGCATGGAACAGCAACTACCCTGAGGCTTGGATATGTTCAAACACTACTATAAAAGCCTATAAAAAACCTATTAAAAAACCCTATAAGACCTATATACGACCTATAAAGCCTATAAGCCTCATAAACCTTCTAAGCCCCTCTAAACCCGCTCTAAACCCTATAAAACCCTATAAGCCCCTACAAGCCACATAAACCCTACACACCCTCAAAACCCTCTAAAACCCTATAAACCCTCCAAAACCCTACAAAACCCTAGAAACCAAAAAAAGAAGCATGTGGGCCCTGGGTGCAAAAGTCGGGCTCAATTGTTTTTGATGAGCTTGAGCTGCCACTCAAGCTGGGATGCGGTATCAAAGAGTGCATCAACACCACTATAGGGACCTTAATAATTCGAATAGGGTCTTGGGGGGGGGGGGGGGTATAGGGATCATAAGGGAATATTAATAGCAATTATTCCGACCCCTATATGATTGACATGCAGACTTCAGGGTCGTGAACTTGTCTAGAAACCCATAAACAAGCCGCCCTTGTGACAGCTTTGAGTCTTTGAGTGTCGTCGTGCCTCACGGCTGAGTCTGCGGCGCAGGTCATGGCTGACATGGTCCCTTTTGAAACCCTATTATAATACGGCACTCAATATTAATATTTAGGGTACCCCAAAAGGGATCATAGTTTTGACAGCCACCCATATGCAGAAAGGGTTCACTGGCGCTAGAGGACAGTCTCGTGCTTGGGTAAGGCTGCTTTGAGTAGGTAGGAACACACTACTTGGGTTACTTGGTTTACTTGGGTTGGGTAAAAAGGCTGTTTGACATGCAAGTACGAACGTGTGATGCTGGGTCGGACTTGCTAGTCCCAAGCTGAAACGCGAGAACGAATGCCATGAAGAAAAGCAGCCACAAACGGTGATTCCTTTCTTGGCCTAAGGAATTCAGCATTCGTACGGTGAGGCCATTGGACAACATTCAGCCTGCGCCTACGGTGGAATCCTTCCAGAATTGGAACTGGTGGTGCCTTGACTAATGACATGAAAATAAGTAGGAAAAAGAATACGAATTGAATAAGGATAAGAGCAAGAACAAGAGTATGACAAAAACAAAAATAGGAATAAGAGCAAGAATAAGAATAAGAATGATAATAAGAATAAGAATAAGACCAATACACTGAATAAGGGAAATATAAAGAATAAGAATTAGAAGAAGAATCAGCATCAGCATAAGAATAAGAATAAGAACAATACTAATAAGAATAAGAATAAACATAAGGATAAGCAGAAGCATAAGCATAAGCATAACTATAAGAACAAGCACAAGAACAATAATAAGAATAATAATCAGAATAAGAATACGAAGAAGAATAAGAATAAGCATAAGAATACGAATAAGAATGAGAATAAGAACAAGAATAAGATCAAACAAATCATAATCAGCATACGAATAAGAATAACTACGGCAAATGGGCAAATTCTGCTGCGAATTGAACACAGGCATGCAAACACCTCTGAATGCAGACCGTGTTAGGAGAACTAGACGAGCTACCCCTGTGAATCATGTACCCGCAGAGTGAAACGAAGCCTAAGTCAAGCGAACTAAGACCAACAAAATCTAGAACCATGGCATGCATCGATACCGTATGTCTAGAACCATGCGTGCTGATTATTGGAATCATGCAACGCAACGCATGCCTGACAGTCACTTCTTCCACAACGGAGTTTGAGCCACTTTCTTTTCTCTGCCCTGCTCGCTACTGGTTCTGTTGCAGAAACTCCTCCGCCTCTGCCAGGCTAAGCTGCGCCTGTGGGATGAAAAAGCGAGCACTTGGGGCATTCAGATTCAGTTTGGCTCGTAGTGTACTGGGGGGGCCCTAAACCCTAAACCCTAAACCCTAAACCCGGGTTAGCTCAAGTTGGGGTTTAAGGCTGAGGCATCATCCAACATGCATTCGGTACGCCAACCAGCAATCCGAGCTTAACGCCTCAAATTGGAAATTAAGGCAACAACGCAAAACACCACAGCAGCAGCAGCACCACCACCACCACCAGCAACAACCACACCCACAACAGCAACAGCAACAGCAGCAGCACCGCCGCCACCGCCACCAACAACAGCAACAGCAAACCACATAACAACCATGACCAGAATAAGAATACGAGCGTTTGAGGGCAAGAGTAGCAAAAGGCTTAAGTATCACTTCCCTGGCTGCCTCCGCGCCGTGACCGGCGGAGAGATCTTCGAGAAACAGCTCCAGGGGATACTCGGCCTGGCAACCAAAACACATCTCCAAGCACAAGCAATGAGCTCCTGTAAGCAGAGCCTGTTCCCTAAACCCTAAACCCTAAACCCTAAACCCTAAATCCTAAACCCTAAGCCCTTATGTTTCAGGATGACGTGCTGGGCCTATTGCTGCGACCACGCTCCCCCTAAACTCCGCCTGGAACCATAGATTGAAAGGCGCGCCCTCTTTTTAGATGCTACCTTGAGTGCTATGTATACACGGAAACGAAAGGATAAACATTAAAATAGTTAATATCTAAACAATAAGAGAGAGAGAGAGAGACATACATATATATATATATACATATATATACATACATACATGCTTTTTTTGCATGGCCACGAAAACAGAATTGCTGAGGAGCCCGTAGCCTGAAAGACCACCCGTGTCCCAAGGAGCCTGCTCCGCTGCCGAAGGGAAGAGCAAGGCGTGCACATCCGCAGGGTCCCGGCGAGTCTCCCAAGGAGCTTCGTGCCCAGGGAAGCTTCCAAGGCTTTCGGAGTTGGGGGTCTACGATATTAAGGGGGGTGCCGTACTTGGTGTCCTTATTCTAAAGGGATCTTACTATTTTGGGGGGTCTACCATCGGGGTCCCTATTGTTGTAAACTCCCATTTAAGAGCCTTTGGCTGCAAGGTACCATGTAGGACTTGGGATGCACTTGTTTGAAGTGTTGGGAACACTGCAAAGAAGTCCAGGGTACATGACCTGACAGATTTCCCACAGAGGAATGACAAGCTTAGGGAAGCTTGGGGAGCCGTAGCGAGTAGTGAGGAGTATTGGCGAACTTGGGGTTACATATTTCCCTTGAACCCCCCTCCCTTAAGAACCCTATAACAGCTTCCGTTTGCAGACGTCGGATCCTCTCGGTTTCAGAAGCATTTTGGGATAGAAACGGCTTGGTAGGGCCTTGCTCTGGCCGAGAAACATCTCAGCTCCATGCGGAATTCCTGAAAACCCGGAAAGGTATACCATTATCAACCTTCTGCGCAGTTTCGCGGCATCTGTCTGAACCTAGACCCCGAAATACGACAAGCCAACTGCAAGTAGCAATTCCACACAACCACCACGCAGAGAGCAGGCTGCTGCAGTCTTGTGAGGTGCGTTGAGACTAACCCTAAACCCCAAACCCTAAACCCTAAACCCTAAACCCTGAACCCTAAACCCTAAACCCTAAACCCTAAACCCTGAAAGTTTCGTGAGTTGAAAGAATCCTTGAGGGCCCTCTCAGCCTCCGGGTCCCCCCAGCGCTGGCGCAGCGCCGCGCGGCGCCGGGGCGTGAGGAGGGGCGCCTGAGGTTTCCGCGTTTAGGGTTTAGGGTTTAGGGTTATAGGGTTATAGGGTTTAGGGTTATAGGGTTATAGGGTTACAGGGTTATAGGGTTACAGGGTTATAGGGCTATAGGGTTGTAGGGTTTAGGGTTTAGGGTGTGAGTCCACAGAGCCGGCAGCTTGGGGGGGTGCATGGGGGAAACTTTGATCAGAAATGGGAATTTCCGAAATTCGAGGGTGCCTTATATTGGGGTCCTTGTTATGAGGGGGTCTGAAGATTCGGGGTCCCCATGTTTCCGCAAAACCCCCAAATGACCTAAGCGGTGCATGCAGAGCCCTAACCCTAAACCCTAAACCCTAAACCCTAAACCGTAAACCGGGCCACCGAGGCTGGGGCTTCCGTTGTGAAGTGTTGGTCCAGCACGTGGGTAACGGCATCCTCCCATGGGCAGAGAAGGGATCAAAACACACGAAGTCGCGCGATTTAGATGCTTTAAGTCCCTAAACCTGAACCAGGTAAATCCGCGAAATCCCCTAAATCCCCTAAATCCCCTAGATCCCCCAAAACCCTGAACCCTAAACCTAAACCCTAAACGCTATAAATGATTTCGCCACCCCTGGGCCTCCTCGAATGGTCTATTGAATAGGTACAACTCTTTCCTTCTCAGGAGTCTCAGGCAGTGTCAAGTCCAACCCACGTCCCATATGAGTCTCATTGTGTTTCTGGGGGTTTCCGAGAATAGGGGTACCCTGTTGGGGGGGGGGGGGGGTTAAGCTAAGGGGATTCTACTCTATAATCCCCACAATCAACCCTATAAAGGCCTTGTTAAGGGGGTTACAGGGTATAATGCAGCCCGATCGCAAAGCGAATTCCGCACCTCCGCGCCGTGCGCGTCACCAGCAGGGGGGCGGCGGAGAGCCAGGCAGCTCGTGGCACGCCCGCCTTGCTTAGACTACCTCTTTTGTGTTGTTTCTTCTTCTTCTTCTTCTTCTTCTTCTTTGTCGTCTTCGTCTTCTCGGTTTCTCGGTTTTTCGGTGTGGCGAGGGGTGAGGGTTGGCGAGGAAGGGAGCCATCGAATCGTCATGAGTTGCGTATCTATGAGCATATCGGGGTTGCTTGGCTTGTGATAACTGCTGCGCCGCGTTGCAATCACTAAGCCTTCGAAATCTCCTTCCAACATTACTCCGTTCATTGCAGGGGTCCTACATATAAACGGACATCTCCCGACCTGGGTGGCGCGCGAAAGTGTAGGTTTAGGGTTTAGGGTTTACGGCCCCCCCCCCCCCCCTCCACCTTCCTAGGGGCGGAGGGGTGACCCACTGGTGGTGCCTCACAAGTTATCATCATGCATGCTCGACAACCTCGAAGCTCCCCCACGCACAAACACATTGTAGCAAGTGAAGCCCTAGAATAACCCTAGAGAGGTAGGGGCAAAAAAGGGGGCCATTTGCAAACATGCGGCTTTTGTTCTCAATGGACCAAGTCTTCAACCTTGGACACCGCATGGATGCCGTGGCTTGGGGTTTGTCATGCAAACATTAGGGTTTAGGGTTTAGGGTTTAGGGTTTGGGGTTTAGGGTTTTAGGGTTTAGAATCTGAACTGAGCGTGGTGGCATGTGATGATGGATGCACGACCCTCAGTCCCCGCCCCTCTCTTGACCAGAGGACATGGGGTTTTTCAACTCCTCAACCCTCAACCATCAACCCTAAACCCTACACCTACGACCCGGCGCCGCCCCAAATTGCGCATGAAACCATGGAATGCCAGAAAGCCAGACAGGCCGAAACCGTGGCGAGCTGTCGACTTCTGCGTTTTTGAGTCGCAAAACCCAACCCAAACGATGCCCAGCCGAACCCTGAAAGGGACCATCATCAAATCGAAGGCCCGGGAAACCTGCAGGAGCCCCACACTACTGTAGAACCCAAGAACCCGAAACCCAGAAGCCCCCTGTAAAGCTGAGGCCCGGTTCTCTTGAAAGCCCAGGCCGGGCGCATCCTTGCGCAAAGCCGCAAACAAGGCCTGTGGACGCGGAGGGGAGGGGGAAATTGGGTTCAGGGTTTGGGGTTGAGGGTTTCGAGTTTAGGGTTAAGGGTTTAGGGAGTTTGGGCCTTGTTTTCGTTGGCGGGCTTTGGGGATTTCTTTTTGTGGTTTGGGTTTTTTTTGGGGTTTGGTTTTGTGGGCTTTGAACTTTGGGATCAGGACCTGCAGAACACAAGGCTGCTTGTGGCAATAGAAAAGTCTTCCATGAATCGCACAAAGCCATGACATGAGCCTCCTGGATGTGTTGTTGTTCATGCACCGCTTCATAGCCTTAATACCCGACTATTCGAAGGGCCTTAAAGAATTCATTGGGGTTTGGGGGTTACTATAGTATATAAACATATAGGGGTTAGAAGGTAGTACTACTAGTAATTATTCCGACCCCTCCATTGACACCCTACCACCCTGATGGTTAAGGGAGTCGCTTGAGGCCCTACCCCTAGCTTTCGGATTCAGGACGGATGGGATGTTGGTATGGGGGGGGCTGTTGGTGTCTTAGGGTACCCAAACCCTAAGCCCTACACTTAAGCAAAAGGGAATCAGGGTATCAGGGAAGGGTATTGGGGTAGGACCCGGTGTAGGATATGTTTTAGGGCACATTCGGGTCACGGCGCGGATGGCTTGGCTTTCCACATCTTATTGGAATTAAGAGCCATACTTGGGGGGCCTACGTCCCAATCCATCTGTTGTGGAGTCTTTGTAGAGAGCAAGAACTCGATGCCTTCTCATCGGGGGTGCATTCCCCCTCTTTTTCTCTCTTCTTCTCTCTCTCTCTCTCTCTCTCTCGCTCCCTCTCTCTCTCTCTCCCTCTCCCTTTCCCTCTCCCTCTCCCTCTCCCTCTCCCTCTCCCTCTCCCTCTCCCTCTCTCTCTCTCTCTCTCTCTCTCTCTCTCTCTACGACAGACGATTTCGTCTTGGATTGGAGGCATGAGCGCACAACTTTTGTCCCCGCGGGATGCATACTGCCGGGCTCGTCACGCAGAGTGTCCTGGAAAGCGGCCCACCCCCCGCAACTGCGCCAATGTTTGCTCTCTGGGGGCTGTGTGGGCTTATAAGCACAATCAACTTTCGAAAGCGTATTTAGCAGGGCTTCTGGGTCCCGGACCCAAGCCGCTCATGCTCAGCGGCTTGGGTGCATGAGCCTTGTTTAATCTACCCCCAAACCATGACACGCACACCATGAATCCCCCAAGCCCACAAACCCAAAATCGAAACCGAACCCCGAAGGCTCGACTGGCTCGACTTGAAGATGCCCGCTTCTGTCGCCTTCTCCTAAGCCTCTGACCTCTCCTGCCGAGGTTTGAGGCAGCGGTTTCGGGATCGGCGGCCTGGAAAATACACCCTTACACCCTTACCTCACTAACATCTCAGAAATTCTCATGTATCACATTCTTTTGAAACAGGTTCTCGGCAGAGTAGCTTGTGGATGTCTGAGGAGCTATGACGTGGTGGCAGATACGCAGCCTAGAGTCGCAAAAAGCTGCTGGCAGGAAAAAAACTCCAGGATGGGCTATGGGGCCCTATAATCCCCACAATCAACCCTATAAAAGTGCCTTCTTAGGGGGGTTATAGGAGCCATGAGACCGCCCCGATGCAAGACCCCATGCCCGCCTGGATCAGGCGATGGAAGTGGCCCAACACCACATCTTCCCTCTACCCGGTTATACCTGGCAGCACGCACTGGATGAAAGGGCCGGTCTGCAGACTGCGCGGCCATGAAACGGAAGCGTGAATTAAATTGCCTTCGTCTCTAAGGTTACGAAAAAGACCCCCCACCCCCCCCCCCCCCCCAACAAAAAAAAACAAAATAAGAGGAAGAACCCCAATTTCGAAGATCACCCATAATGGCCAAGGACAATAAGCAGCTCCTCAAGATTTGGCCGCCAACCTTTGACAGGCATCTGACCGCCCCCAAGCTCACAACTCCACAGTCGCTGCAACGATTCCCAGATTCTGACCATTTGGTTGGCCCTCAGGTACCCGGCAGGGGGATCTTGTCCATGAACCAATGAACTCGCAGATGCCCTTGCACGTTGCAGCTTTAACGAACCTTAAAACCTAAACCCCAAACCCTATATACCCCAAAGCCCAACTACGCACGTCCCAATCTAGTCCACGCAAAGTTCAATATCCCTCCGATGCCGGAACCCCGGAGCAGAAGAGCTTCGGCTGCTCCGGTGCGCTGCTTCGAGAGAGCTGCTTCTACGACATCCGAGGGGGGGGAGCTTGCTGTGAGCCCAGGCGGAGGGCCCCAGCCGAGCGCAGACTCTGTGGCTGAGGCCGCTTTCTGGGCTTCTTGACATGGGGGGGGGGGGGGGGTTTAGGAAGATAGGGGGAACCTCCCACTTCAGATCCCCAAACTGTGGGATCCCCCTTAGAACATGGATCCCAATAAGGTACCCCTAACATCGTAAACCCCAGATCGTGTGAAGTTCTGGCGAGATTCGGGCTTCGTCGTTGTGAGTTCGTTGTTGCCTGGGAACAAATTGCTGAAATTAACTTGTTCAGACACTGCCTGCAAAGCCACAAAAGCCTTCATGAACCTCAACTTCCTGGAAAAAGTGCACTCGCGATCCTATCTTCAACGGTGACTGTAACAAGTTCTGTAGCGCCTTGTTGTCTGGATACTATCAGGGGCCTTAGAAACTCGAATAGGCTTTGCTTTTTCTGTTTATCATTTTTTTTTTTTTTTTTGGGGGGGGGGGGGGGGGTATGCTAGTGTATATATATATAGGGGCCATAAAGGAATAATGTTAGTAATTCTTCCGACCCCTATATTCGGTGCACTCACCCGAGCAGCCAGAAGATCCTGGAAGGTCCGCAACCCCAACGATGGATATGACCAAAACATGGAGAACCAATATCTGTCCGAGTTTTGTCCGACTACGAATTTATGGGGAAAAGGTGGTCTCCATCGTAAGTAGTAGGTAGCAGATTGACCAAGAACATTTCAAGGTTCCGCGCCTGTCCTTCAAGCTGAGCAGTGTCCTGCATAATTATAAAAGACATGCGGGTGCAAACGCTGTGCTAGCCGCAGTGGGGCGAAATCCCAGAGACTCGGATATGCTCTTCACATATCTTCAGGGACCTTTCCAAAACTCTCGCTGGTAGACCCAAACCTTCGCAGATGTTCTGACTCGCAGGTAGCATGCGTTTAGTTTAGTCCTTTTTGAGTGACGAGGGGGCGAACACGCACTGCACCATTCTAGAGGTAACCCGCACCAGATTGAACGGGCTCAACATTGTTCGTTGTTGATTTATTGCACACATAGGAATTAAGACAGTTGTCAATTTTGTTCGGCCGGTATTCTCTAGCCGCAGAAGCAGCGCAGAAGCAGCCCTGCGTGCATAGAACCCTTCCACGGTCGAAACTACAAACAGGATCGAAGCAGCCTATGTAGTCATGGATTCTTGCAAGAAGATGCCGTGATGGGCAGTTTGGCCTTAGAACCCCTATAACCAACCCTACAAAGGGGCCGTTTTAAGGGGGTCATAGGATAGAATAGCCCGTCCTGGTACCCAACCTCCATATGAGTTGAACTTCACACATTTTTCAACCTCCCTCCCGAGCAGACTTGCACCGAACTGGGGTCGAACTGAAGGCTCCGGAGCATTTTTTTCAAGCCCCGCGATTCGAAACCCACGTCGTGATGCTTCATGTCAGAGCAAGGTGGCCCTGAAGATTCGGGAGCTTTCTGTGGCCCTTTGTGGGGTGAGGACGCTGAGATTCCTGCGAAACCCTTCTGGATTCGCAGGAGAGGTCAGGTCTGCACCCCGAAGTGTCGCACCAGGCGCTGCCTGGGTTTCAGAGAGGCACAGCGAGGTAGCTGGACGTCGACAATGTGTTGGGATGGTCGCCCTTACACGAACCGTCCTTAAGAGGGATTATCATAGGGGGGTACGAGAATCCCGACTAAGGACTGTTAGGATAAGGGGGAACATCCCAAGCAATGTGCTCTGTGCCCGGAGTGTGGCACCCCCAGGTTCTCAATTGCGAGCAATTAGAAAAGAGAGAGAGAGAGAGAGAGAGAGAGAGAGAGTTTGAACTGCGTGTTGTTGCAGGCCCAGGGTTCACACAGCTTGTTAACATGCTCCAGCCAGCCTAAACCCTAAACCCTGTAAACCCTGTAAACCCTATAAACCCTATAAACCCTCTAAACCCTAAACCCCAACTCCCTGTGCCCTCTTCCCCCCTCGTCTCTTTTTCCGCTCACCAGAGCTGCTTCGCATCGCAGCCGAGCTCTTCGGCCAAAGACCGGACGGCCAACAAGGCCTTCTCCACGTCCTGGTGGCTGAGCCTCAGTCTCTGCAATATATGCACATAAAACAACAAGTAGTGTGTGTGTGTGTGTATATATGTATATATGTATATATCCATATATATATATATGTGTATACAGACACGAATATGATCTATACTTCTGTTCCTCCATACACATATTCACACATGTGGCTAGTGTCCTTTTGGTGGCCTGTTGCCCATGACATGATTCGCTTGGGGGGGACCTTAAACCTGTAAATTACAGCTACCCTTTTCGAGGGGGTTCCCGGGATGAAGGTTCCGAAGCGTTTTTAGGGTTTAGGGTTTAGGGTTTAGGGTTTAGGGGGGGGAATCCTGTTTTGTGCATGCCCACACGTTTAAGAATTGAATGCAAAACCTATAAACCCTCAACCCCCAGTTGTTGCGGCTCCCGGAACATCGGGCTGCTTTGCGGCACCTGCAAGGTTTGGGCTTCTGGATTTGCATGCTTCGGGTGTCGGTTTTCGTTGCCAACTTGTAAACCCTGAACCCTATAAGCCCTGAAAGTAATACCACCCTGGCCCTTCGACAGTGACAGGCTGTTCAAAGAAGGCTGCACCGTACCTACTTAGAATCTACATGCGACCAGGAAAGGCTGCATTTGGGAATAGTCTTGCCAAACAGCCTACGTCAGAGCGGAGCCCGATTTCACGAAGCTCTATGCTTGTAAAGATTCTTGA